CCCCCCCCCCCCCCCCCCCCCCCCCCCCCCCCCCCCCCCATAAGAATTGCAAGAAAACCAGGAGGCGCCAGGCTCGCTTGCCAAGCACTCAATTTGCATCCGCGCCCTAACGTCTTCCTCGTGTGACATTGACGTAGTGACTTCGCACCAGTTCACAGAGGCATTGTTGGCACCGTTGAACCTCAGCATCTTTGGCACCGTGCACTAGCTCAATGATAATCAACGTAGGATTCAAAACCCTACTGACTAAAGTGCTCGCATTGAAGGGGAAAATCATTTTCTTCCGTCAATGAGATGACGATGTCTGAGAGCCTGTTTCAAGAGTTTTATGAATGCCTGAAAAACTAAAAAAGACCGTTCACGAATCCAGATTGAAATTCATATCACCGTCAAAATGTAGTTTTTATGTACCATTTGCGATATGCAGAAATTCCTGCGAGGGGTGTGTGTGTGTGTGTAGGTGGATGTGTGTGTGGGGGGGAATTAAGGCTACGAGAGGAAAGTACTCCGTTTCGCGCTTCTCTTTGTAATACGTGTTGGTTGTACGATCGTCACGTACCCAAGTAGGGTGTTAATACGTTGCAATCGCGTAGCCTGCCACGCACCAGCCACGTCCCGCAGAGATACGTGATCGCTACGTTGCCACGATGTGAAATGTTTGCTAGGCTGAAAAAAAAACGCATGTTCAAAACCCTCAAAACCGACCGAGACTGGTTTCAATGAGACCACCGAAGGGCCTGCCTCAGTGCGATGAATTTCCGTCGCATCTGCCCCCTTCGGCTGTCCCCGACTAAACTATACCTTGGGGTCGCCCGAATGGGACAGCAACTCTCAGCAGAGGAATCGGTTTACGTGCTTCCAGACAACTTTACTTTTTATTTAAGTCCTTAAGTTCGGAATAAGTACAGGGTGGTTACAAAGTCCTGTGGAGTGTTTACAGTCCTACAGTGACCAAAGTAGATGGAGTCGGAAAATCCAACCTTGCAGGGTGCACAGATAACATAGAACGACTATTTCCATTTTTTTCCAAGATTTTTTGCCCATCGCAAATGCTCGATGTGCTCCCTCCTTACTCAATATCACTGCCGAGGCATGCGATAACGTTGCTCACTGCATCATACAGCACCTGTGGCACGATCCTGTTCACCTCTCGTCGAATCGCGTCCTTCAGCATCGCCAGCGTTGTCGGCCTTTCCCGGTGCCCGCGCGTCCTCAGGTATCCCAACAACCAGAATTCCGCGGGGTTTAAGTCTGGAGATCGCCAGCTGCGCGCGAAATGTCTGCTTATAACTCGCTCCTCGCTAAATGTGTCCAGCAGCAATTGCACCTGTCTCGGTGCGATATGCACGAAGACCTAGCTCAGATTTGCATCCGTTAAGATAAATGCGTGACGAGGCCAGCCTTTTTTATGGGGGGTCATCATTTTCCTGTTCTCTTACTTCGGAATGCCCAGACCAGATGGCCTGGCTTTATATTATGCAGCGGGTGATGGTGCTGCCACCTGGGATGAGAGTGGTGTAATCTCCACTTTTATTATGGAAATGGCCTTCCCATGTTATTGTCTGTGCACCCTGCAAGTAATACTAACACGGGAAAATCGGGTTATTCCCCAATGGGAAAGACTGCTCTGGGAATTTCGACGAGGAAGTCAACGACGGGCCAGCAATACGAAGCACATAAATTATAAATTATATGTACAGGTGACAGATGATTTGCTAAATTAAAGGACGCAAAAAGTCCCGAGACAATGTAAGAATCGCCTCGAACCACGCCCCTCATCCCATAAAAAAAAGATTTAAGACGTGAAATTCGCTGGCGAAGTCATGAATCATCTGCGAATAAATTTATTCCAAGAAAAAGGTTCCTTCACGTGAGAAAAATTCAAAATTAGTCTGTGACATCCACGAATAGCGATTCTGACCTTTCTTTCCGAAAAGAAATAATTAGCTGCTGGAATACATCGATCGCAAAATTAGAAATGAAACATCGAATATATATTCGTCGGCGAGAAGGATTTTTGTAAATGGATTATAATTTTCATCGGAACTTTCTTCATCTTTTTTTTAATCGCAAAGTGATTATTTTCTTTCGAGAAGGAGAAAATTCCTGAATATTAATTAATACATTTTCAGCAATTTTCGTCTCCGAATGCGAAGCGCTCGAGACCGGAACCGCACTGTCTACGAAAGGAGAACGAAGAAATGAAAAAAAAAATTTACTCGTTCGTAGGAGACAAAAAATACCAGAGGAAAACATTTCCCACCAAGAAGCCGAACATATAAAAGGTACCAGAAAAAATCGATACTCAATTAGAAAAACGCAGACGAGGGTGGACAAGCGACGAGAACGAAGAATTTCGACGGAGCAACGGCGCTAGTCCTTAAAGGTTGCATCAGCGTTGATGCTGATATACCGTATTTTATATACTATATACCGTATTGTACCTGTACCCTGCAAAAAAAAAAAAAACAAAGAGGAGACAGTCTTGTACTCGAAAAATACGATCTCGGGGATGGAAAAATCCCCAAGGGCGAAACGAGGCTGGAAAACGCAGAGAACTTCTCGACCGTAATCCTCCTGGATTATCCAAACGGATTATCCAAACTTTTAGTTTGCTGGGAATTCCAGGAAGTTGCAAGAGAAGCAATGATGGGATAGTAAATATCGACACGAGAAATTCCCGACTTTGATTTGAGAGGGATTTGAGTCGCTTCCGACTTTAACAATGAGGGACCTCATTCTGGAACGATGGGAAAATATAACTTCCGTTAAAATATAAAATATATTCTTGAAAAAAAAAATTCTGTATCAAGGTACTTCTTCGTCTTGGTTATAGAAAACCTCCAACCTATCAGGTTGAAATAATAATACAAATAAAAGACCCTATTGCTAGTAAAGTAGCATGAACCTGACACCAAATATAGATTTTTTTTTTCAACAAATTTTCTTGCTTATCACTCATGACGGACAAGACGTAGTCACGATTCCCACCGAACCCATCTGGGTTCAGACCCAGCCTCACATCTCGGAGCAGACGCATTGGGTTCAGACCCAGCCTCACATCTCGGAGCAGACGCCACTTCGCGGTGCAGTGTCCAGGGCCGTCTGAGAAGAAGTCGCTGGTGGGAATGGAGAATCCCTCTGGAGGTGTGGAGGAGCGGTAGGATTTCCGTCAACGGAGCATCGGAAGTGTTCAAGGGAGCAAAATGTGTCGATCATGGTATCTCGCAGGCGGACTTCGAAAGTAAAGTGGGTGAAAAATGGGGCCATATAGTTAGACTTGGGAGGATATTATATAGGTACTGGGTCCCACATCACTTAAGTAAATTCCATATGCGTTAGAAGATTCCTCCGAACCAACAGCAGCTCTTGGGCATCTGTCATTCCAGCAAAATATTTTTATTTCCAACTTTGAGATGAGAAGTCTCGAAAACCAATGAGTCGATTTCCCTCGAGTCCACTGAGGGAAATCCGTGCCACTTATCCCCTTAATCCGTGCCTTAAATGCATCGAGATCAAGGAGACGGTTTGCCTGTCCGAAACTCCCGTGAAACGATTCGAGGCAAGGCCTCCGAAATGTCAAATGTCCTTGTTTGAATCAGCTGATG